AAAAAACTAGTTATCTTTATGATTGCTTTTCCAGATTTTTCTTGACTATTTTTTCTTTTTCTTTTTTCATTTGAACTTTAGTATTAGCTTGTCTTTGATTACAAAATAAAAAATACTGTTGCTTTTTTTATTGAATCAAATCTTTGTTATGTTGACTTTTCTTATCTAAGAAATGATATACCTTCCCATTTATTCATCTTATTTTGTGTTTTTTGGTAGCATCTTAAAATGTTCTTTATATAAATCATGCCCATCTCTGACACTTATTCCTAAGCACTTTATCGTCCTTGTTGAATTGTAAATAGTTTTTTCTTCTCTTTTATCATATATATGTATATAATTGACTTCTGTAGATTGCAAACCCACAAACTTACTAAGTTCTCTGATTTTGGTTAGTTTCTTTGGTTTTTTGTCATGAAATCTGACCTACATCTATACTGAATCATAGCTTTGCTAGATTTAATATGCCTTGAAGTAAAGAGCTACAAAAATCCTTTGCATTTGATAAATGATACTATTTGAACCCAGGTCACATCTTCTATAAAAGCATTATTTCATCCTGGTTTTTGGATATGAAGCAATTTTATGGTTGATGTTGATCTGTTTGCTTTCCTTCAATATTTAAAACAATATCCAGCTGTTAGTTTTTTATTATTATCAAGTAATCCGTGGAAGTCTTGGGAGAGCGTTTGCTGTAATTTTGTACTTTATCAAAAGAGGAAATATGTGGCTTTTATTGCTAAAAGAAATAAGTTTCAATTATTCTGGAATATGTCTTCTCTCTTACCATGAATCATTCGACTGATTACCCACTTGGGCCTCGCACTAGACCAAGTACTTCTTTAGCAGCATAGTATCAGAAGTACCAGCTATTGGGAGCTAAGGATATGAATACTGAAGAAAAGCTGGAAAGATCAAGGACTATCAATGATCCAAGCTATGGCAGGTAGGCAAATTGATGTTAGCATGCATCTATATGTCGCAATAGTCAGAAGCCAAGCAAGTAGACAATAACTGGTGGGTGAAGTTGGTGGTGGGGGGTGTTATTTAATAGAGCATGAAAAAAATCAATGGCAAAATACTAGATGGAAATATTATATGTAACTCATGAAAGACCAAACACAAATTGTCCAACAATAAAAGAAAAAGCTACAGTAAATATGCTAGGCTATATACAGCTATTAAAATTATAACTCTGATTATTAGGTAGAAACATTGAAAAGTATTTACAAAGTGATTCTAAGCGAATAAAAAAGTCATAATAGCTACATATTCAGTATTTGTTATTTCTAATTTAGAAATCAACTGTAAAGGCAAAACAATGGAGATGGCAAAAATATCAGTTGCTGCCAGAGGTCAGAAAGGAGTGAAGCGCAGAGAATTTTAAGAGCAGAGGCACCACTCTGTATGAAGTATCCATGCATCACTTACCAACAGAGATACATTCTGAGCAATGTGCCATTAGGCAATTTCATTGTTGTGCAAACATCACAGAATGTACTTCCACCAATCTAGATGGTGTAGCCTACACATACAGCCTATGGCTCCTCCTCTACAAACCTAGGCAGCATATTACTACTCTGAATACTATAGGCAATTGTAATGCAATGGTAAGTATATGTGTACCTGAACATATATAAACATTGAAAAGATACAGTAAAGTTACAGTATTATAATCTTATAGGACCATTCTTGTATATGCAGTCTACGGTTCGCTGAGATGTTGTTTATGCAACAAATATGATTGTACCATAATGTTGGATGTGTGTCAATATACATTTATCAAACCCATAAAATGTACAGCACCAAGGGTGAACCCTAATGTAAACTATGGACTTAGGATGATAGTGATGTATCAATGAAGGTTCATTAATTGTAATGGATGTAGCATTCTAGAGGGCAATGTTGATCATGGAGGAGGCTATACATGTCTCAGGGCAGGAGGTATATGGGAAATTTCTATACCTTCCACTCAATTCTTCTGTGATCTTAAATCTGCTCTAAAAAATAAAGATTTTATTTTTAAAAACTTAACTACGTGTGGATAAATTTTTTGAAATAATATGAAGAAATAACAGAGAGATGGGATTATGTTGTGATTTAGAAAATAGAATTTTTGTTGATTTAACAAAAAAATTAATACTATTATCAAGATATGAGCTTAAGAGAATGGGAAAAGTGATGACAAGAAGAATACCTGATAACTAAGGCTGGCGTTTGCTTTAATCAAGCAATGGTATATGTCTCCCATTGTTATCATTAATAAGAGATAATATTTGCATATTATTGCCTGTATGCTGGGCCCTTAAAACAAAAATTGGTCCTCACCTATGATTAAAATCCACTTGTACATATCTTTTTTTTCATTCCTGTCCGAAATGGATAAAATGAAAGTATGCCACTGCATATGGAGAAAACAGGAGACATAGCAAAAAAAAAAAAAAAGGCATTTTTCTGCTGCTCACTATATAAGGATACAAGAGAAATATATGAGGTGGCTCCTGCCCTCAAGGCCCTTAGAACTTACCTTAGGGAAATTGTACCTGAAATAATTGGCAATAAAAGATATTGTTTTCTGTTACCTCGAAGTGCAATAAAATATTTTAAAAAGAGAACAAATACATAAAAACAACTCCACCAGTGTTCCTCAACAGAAATGTTGTTAGAATTTGTGACATTTCTTCGATTGTGCAGAACTGTCTCATGCATTGCGAGACTGCTTACATCCCTGGCCCCTATCATTTAAATGCCAGGTGTTCCCAGCCATTGTGTCAAATAAAAATAAATTTAATTTCAAATGCTCCTCACATTTATTTACAAATTAAGACTCTTTAGACTAAGCATTTTCAAACTGTAATATTCCAAAAAATCTTAGTGCATTTTGGTGCATTTTGGTGCATTTTGTTCAACTTATCAATATTAAAAAACATAGTAAAAATAATAATGATAACATATGCATCCAAAACCCTTAGACATCTTTGACTTTTCTCTTCTCTCATCTTCCACATCAGATCAATCAACACTGCTCTGTGTACTTTTAAAACCCCACTCATAGTCCAACCACTTCTGTCTACCAAACCGCATTGTGCAAGCCCCCATCATCTCTCACCTGGATTATTGCAGTAGCTTCTTGTTGTGGACTGAATGTCTATGTCTCCCCAAAATTTATACATGAAGCCCTAACCCTCAATGTGCTGGTATTTGGAGATGAAGCCTTTGGGAGGTGATTAGAGTTAGATGAGGTCATGAGGGTAGAGCCCTGGTACCGTGGATTAAAGTCCTTATTAGAAGACTCACAAGACAGCACTCTCTCTTTCCCCCCCTCTCTCTCTACCTCTCCTCTTTCCTCCCCCCACCCATGCACACCCATCAAGGGAAGGCCATATGAACACATGGTGAGATGGTGGCTACCTACAAGCTAAGAGAAGAGGCCTCCCACTAAATCTTACCTCACTGGTACTTTCATCTTGTACTTCACAGCCTCCAAAACCATAAGAAATCAATGTCTGTTGTTTAAGACACCCAGCCTGTAATATTTTGTTTTGGCAGCCAGAGCTAACTAGTACCCCTCCCAACTAGTTGCTAGATGTCCCCTTAGCCTTGTTCAGCCCATTCTCATGGGCTGATGTAATCTGATTTGCATTTTCACCAGGATCACTCTCAGCCTGGTGAGAGTGATCCTGTTGAAAATGCAAATCAGATTACATCATTTTCTCCTCAGAACACATCCATGACTTCTTCTTTCCTCATGAACGTTACAAAAAAGGGTTTTACATAACCCTTATGACTTGAGACTTGGGCCCTGTGAACTTTTTGGCATGGCCTTTTAATGCCTTCCCCACCCACCTCATCCACAGGCTTGCTTGTCTTCCAGTGTGCCAGGTCCACTCTCTCTGCAGGGCCTTTGCAGTCTGTTCCATCTTTGGAGAGCTCCTCCTCCCTCACTCCCTTGACTATGAAATTTTTTACTCAGATGTCTGTGGTCACTTTAGCTACTATTGCCAATGCCCTTTCATGCCACGCATCACTTCCTACCTCCTTCCTTTAATTTACTTTTCTCCTTGTCCTGTGCTGCTTTTTTTCTTTCCATAGCACATTATACATCTTACTGATTTATCTTATTTGTTGTTAGCTCATCCCCCACACGAGAATATCACCTCCATCAGAACAGGGGTTTTCTTTTCCATGTTGTTCGTTGCTGTTTTCCAGTATCTGAAAAACTGTTCCTCATTACTTTTTTTCATTATTGCTCCCCTAAGACTTTTTCAGACATCTTATTTCCTAATCACCCCCCATGAAATTTTAATGCCACAGATAGGATGTATATATGTTTACATTTGGAGGGCCACACACCATTTCAATAAATAACATTTTTCACCCTCAATAACTAATATTTTCTTCCTTGACATATTGAAGGTACATGATCTAGAATAAGGCCTTGGATGTAGCACATGGTAAATATATGTTGAATAAATGAATGATTTAAACAATATATATACATCAAATTTATCACTGAATACCATCGACATTAAATTATCCACTATAAAATAATTTTATGCAAATTTCAGAAAGTTTTTCCTATTGTTTCTGTTTAGTAGAAAATTCTGAGATTGAGACTGGGCATGGTGGCTCACATGTGTAATCCCAACATTTTGGGAGACTGAGGCGGGCGTATCACCTGAGGTCAGGAGTTCAAGACCAGCTTGGTCAACATGATGAAACCCCATCTCTGCAAAAAAACAAAAGTTAGCTGGGCATGGTGGCCCATGTCTGTAATCCCAGCTACTTAATCCCAGCTACTCAGGAGGCTGAAGCAGAGGAATCACTTGAACCCAGGAGGTAGAGGTTGCAGTGAGCCAAGATCCAGCCTGGGTGACAGAGTGAAACTCCGTCTCAAATAAAGAAAATCCTGAGATTAAAAGGGGAGCTGCTAAAAATTGTTAATATTTACAACTATTTGACTCTATGAATCATAGATTTTTTAAAATACTAAGTAACCATAATAAAATATGACATAAATTGCATGTTGAGGCTAAATATAAGACTACTTATCTATACACCTTGATTTCCAACTTTTTATTAATTGAAACATTAAGTCTCACTAGCTTGGTAGTTAAACTCTGTAAATTCAAATTTATATCTATAAGATTTTGCATGAGCACATTACTTAAAACTTTAAAAAGCATTGCATTCAACAGCCTGCTCCCAGAGGCAAGAGGGACTATGACTATCTGTCTTCATAGTTCCACTGCCCTGTTAAGTACCTGGCACATAGTGTGCACCTAATAAAGACTGTTTGAATGGATATAGGCTGACTCTATTCAGGAGAAGTTTATGAAGAAGCTAGAACTTGAATAAAGGCTAAAAACATATACTGAATTTACATAGAGGAAACATTTCTTATTTGAAAGAGCATCAGGAGGAAAGACTGTCAGTTGTATATTTGGGAACACAGAGAAGTCAACTTGGGTATGTACAAGAAATTCAATTATGAAAAGTCTTGAAAACATGTCTGAGGAATTTGGACTAAAAGCAAAAAGAAGCCATTATGGAAATTTTATGAAGTAGAGTTAAATTACAAAAGTTGTCTTTTAGGAAAAGTCACCTGGCAACAGTATGAAAGGTGAATAAGAAAGAGGAGAGAATGAGAGGATGTAGATCAGTTAGGAGGTCATCAGTAATTGGATATGAATTAAAGAGATGACCCTTGTAATAGGGAAGAGTGGAGAGACTGAGGCTACTTTCAGAGGACAAGGTAGACCCTTTTCCTCATTAAGAGCCTTGGGCTGCAAGTAACGCAAATGAGATTAAACAAGAAAAAATATTGGGTCCTACTGCTGGATATCCAAAGGTAGTGTTCTTTCAGAGACAGGTTTACCCCAGTTTTCTTCCAGCTCCATTTCTCAAAGATTCATTTGACTCAGTGCTTCTCCATTTGTCAGCCTCATGCTCCAGGTGGCATGAACCTGGTGTCCTCAGTTCCATTGCATCCACACATGAACATATCCTGAGAAAAAGCAAGAAAAAAGAGAAAAAGAGAGAGAATTACTCCTGAAAGCTCTTTCAGAAGAGCAAGGAAGAACTTCCCTAGAATCACTAACAAATCTTTTCTTGAATCTCAGGGACATTAACTGGTTTGCACGTCAATTGCTAAACCAATGTGGCATAAGGAAAGGAGATTCTCCTTGGACCAGCCTACTGCCTTCTTGGGCTTGGGAGAGAGTTTGATTTCTGAGCCACATGGGCTGTCTAGGGGAGGATTTGGATATAGTACCAAAATTGGACTTTCTTTAAGAGAAGAGGAAAGAGGTAAGGGATGCTGGATGTGAAACCAACAATGCAGTGAAGAAGAGAACAGAATTTAAGATGAGTCCTGGTTTTTAGCTATTTGGTAGTATGACAGGTAAGAGAGACCAGTTTGAGAGTCAGAGATAAATTTAACTCCATTTTTAGAGAAAGCATATTAAACTGCAAAATGCTACTCAAAGATACTGTTGCTTCCTTGTTAGTAATTTGATAGTCAGTGGAGAATGGCCCTGAGCCCTTAGGGATGTCTCAGAGCTGGAAACAGAAATTTAGATGTCATCCATATAGAAGTGAATGAGCTCCCCAGAGAGTGGTTACAGAAAAGGGACCCATGATGAGTCTTATCCTCAGATTGGAGGAAGGAGGAAAAACAGATGTTAGGAGATTAAAGAAAACAAAGAGCTGTCAGAGAGAGATCTAAGGAATAGTATATGTGATGTAATCATGGAAGTTGAAAGGAAAAAATAATTCATGATGAAGATATCAAATGTTACCTAAAGATTATGAAGAAAGAGAGCTGACAAAGCCAAGTTTGGGCTTTAAGGGAACAAGATGTATGTAAGGAAGTCATTAAAAGGTTCATGAAAGATTTCCAAACAGCAGCAGACTGAAATGAAATTGCTAGCGTAAATCTGCAATAGGCCAGGTCAACTGAGTCCTTTTCACAATCCAATATGCCTCCTGCATAGGAAAAAGAAAAGAATGATCTGATCATTAAACATGTATAGTGGGTTTGGAAAAAGATAAAGAGGTGAGAGAATTTAGTCATGATAAAGCAATATTAAATCATTGAGTATGGAATTTACACTGTAGAGGGAATCTCAGCCGAAGGATGAGAATGGACAAAAATCCAGCCTTTGGTTCTGTTTCGTTGGATTTGCAATAAAATATAGCAGACTTACTAGCTTTGTGTCTTGGTTTGAGCTCCCTTGAAAGCACAGCTTAAACTAAGAGCTTGGGTACTGGTAGTTTATTAGAGAGGCAAGCCTAGGAAAAAGAATATGAGGAGTAAGACAGGGAAGTGATAAAAACTGATGAAGTAGCCAGGCACGGTGCCTCATGCCTATAATCCCAGCACTTTGGGAGGCTGAGGCGGGTGGATCATGAGGTCAAGAGATCGAGACCATCCTTGTCAACATGGTGAAACCCCGTCTCTACTAAAAATACAAAAATTAGCTGGGCATGGTGGCATGCACCTATAGTCCCAGCTACTCGGGAGGCTGAGGCAGGAGAATTGCTTGAACCCAGGAGGCGGAGGTTGCGGTGAGCCGAGATCTTGCCACTGCACTCCAGGGTAACAAAAGTGAAACTCCGTCTCAAAAAAAAAAAAAAACTGATAAAGTGTGTTATTGATTTCAGCCAGCTATTGCAGACAATGTAGTTGCTGGAATCCCACCTCAAGCTCATGTGATGATGTCTCTGTTTCTCTGCCACAAAGCTTTCTTTAAAGCTCAGTAACAACACAGCCTGAAATTGCTGAGGTGTTAACAACTCTAGGCAACCCTCAAACAGTGGGAGAAGGCATGGTGAATAAGGATCTACTGTACTAGCCAGTTACCACTGTAGGCAAATGAGACTCAGTCCCTCTGGAGACACACAGGGCAATTGTGAAAAATGACCGCAGAATGGTCCCATCAAATAACAGGGAGGTTGAACCTTGGTTAAAGTTTCCCCCAGCACAATCCCACATTGCACATATACAGGTGTTTCAGAGAAAGCCCTAAGGCAGAAAAGCAAAGAGCAACTACCACATGGGCTTGAAGTGAGACACTAGTAATTGCATGCGACTGTCACCACAGCTGTCCATCACAGCTGTCCACCACAGCTGCTCAGAAATCAGTAGCCCAAGAAGCTGTGACATGGGCATCACACACAGCTGCTGCACCAAGGTTTCTCCACCACAACACTACTGACATTTGGACTCAGTAATTGTTGTTGGGGCTGGCATGTGCCTTGCAGGATGTTAAGCAGCACCCCTGGACTTTCCCTATTACATGCCAGCTGCCACTTGCCCAGTTGTGGCAATGAAAAATGTCTCTAGACATTGCCCAGTGTCCCTAGGGAGGCAAAAATCATACCCAGTTCAGACCCACTGTGAAACACTGTGTAACCTCGTGCAAGTTTCTTCTCTTCTCTAAATCTGTTTCTCTTTTTTTTCTTTCTTTTTTTTTTTTTTTTTGAGAGGGAGACTCGCTCTGTTGCCCCGGCTGGAGTGCAGTGGCACCATCTCAGCTCACTGTAACCTCTGCCTCCTGGGTTCAAGTGATTCTTTCGCCTCAGCTTCCTGAGTATCTGGGATTACAGACTTGCGCCACCACACCCAGCTAATTTTTTTATTTTTAGTAGAGACAAGGTTTTGTCATGTTGGTCAGGCTGTTCTCAAACTCCTGACCTCACATGATCTGCTCTCCTTATCCTCTCCAAATGCTGGGATTATAGGTGTAAGCCACCGTGCCCAGACCTCTAAATTTGTTTCTTATCATAAAATGAGGATAATAATACTACTGAACTCAAAGGTTTTGGAAGATGATTAAATGAAGTGGTGAAGATTAAGCAGTTATCAGAGTAAATGGACACTTAGCACATAGTATGTGTTTAATAAGAAGATAATAGTAATGGCAGTACTGTAAAAAATAGTGATACACTTTTATGGCTAGAATGAATTCAAGGTTTAACTTCCTCTTATTTGATTAAAATAATAAAATAAGGTACTCATTAAAAATAAAAATAAGGTATTTATTCCTAATATCTATTTCAGCAAATGAATTAAAGGCAGAATCTCAATGTGGATAAATCAAAGTGAAAAAGTTTGACATCAGTCACTTTTCATCTTCTTTCATTACAAACACCAATTAATGCTCTTAAGTTAAACATGACCACGTATCATTTTGTTGTAGCTAAGTGAACTCAAAGTGTGAAGGAGATAAAAAGAACTCTGCTTAAAAAGTGAATAGAAAATTTGAATGCTGTGTATTTCAGAATAATCTTGCAGAGTTTACACCTCAGTATTTTCTAAAATACAGATTTAAAACATACATTTAGTAAAACAAAAATTTTTTAGCATAGTCTGCAATCTCAGACTTAAAGACATGAATATTTTAGGTTTATTAGCACAAATTGAATACCAGCATGCAAACACTGAAATGAATTTAAGGAAATTGTTAATGATTCATTCCATAGAGTAATTAGATTTTTGTATGATTGGAATAAATACATTAGCAAAAACAATTATGCACTGATGCAGTGAAAAATCACTCTCAGGAAAAAAGTCAGTGGTGTAATAAAAAGGACATTTTTGCAGGGCTCCTCCTGTACTTTCTTGACTGAATCACAAACAGCTGTTGCCATCTGCCAGGGTGAGCCCTTGGCAGAAAGGCACGACAAACCTCTGCCAAACCCTGGTCTGTTGAGAGTGTCTACCCCAGAGCTCTCAGAGATTGAGTATTCTTAAGAGATAGTAAGTGAATCTCCAGTAAAACTGACTTATGTCATTCTTAAGGGACTGTAGGGAAAAAGCAAACAAAATAAGCAGAAAAAGCACATTTGTGAAGAATTACCTTTGTGGCTCTGCTTCTGTTACTTTAAATCTTTTAGAGGGTATACGCTTTTGCTCACAATGGAATCATTGTTCAAACTTACTACATGGTGTTGTAACTACTTCTTAATGTGCATTAAACTGCTAGTGCAAGTGCCAAGACATTGTCATCTCTGTATCCCCAAGACCTAGCACAGAGCAGGCACTCAGTGAGTAAATGAATGAATAAAAGAATTGGTCCAGGCTGGGTTCGGTGGCTCATGCCTGTAATCCCAGCACTTTGGGAGGCCAAGGCAGGTGGATCACCTGGGGTCAGGAGTTCAAGACCAGCCTGGCCAACATGGTGAAACCCCTGTCTCTACTAAAAAAACAAAAATTAACCAGGTTCAGTGGCTCACACCTATATTCCCAGCTACTCGTGAGGTTGAACCAGGGAGGCAGAGGTTGCAGTGAGCCAAGATCTTGCCACTGCACTGCAGCCTGGGCGATGGAAGCAGACTCTGTCTCAAAAAATAATAAAAATAGTAAAATATATACGTATACATACACATATATATACACAGTATATATGTGTATTTTATATATGTGTATATATACACATATATTATATATATGTTTATGTATGTGCATATATCATATAATAAATATACACATTATATATGTGTGTATATGTATATATATGTGTCTGTATATGTGTGTGTGTATATATACATACATATATATGTGTATGTATATGTATGTGTGTATATATATACACACACATATGCATACACATATATATACATACACACACACACACACACACACACACACATATATGTAGGTCCAGCTCACCATGATTGCTGTACCAGCCTCCAAGATCAGTTGCAAATTTCAAATATCAATCTCAGCCTTCACAGGGGTATCTTAAGTACTGTACCTCAGAACCACTGAAACTTCTTATCACGTCTCAGCCTTCCTAGAATAGACACAGTCTGAAGTGGCAGGAAATGAGGCAATGAGAGCCATGTGACACAGGCCACATCTACATCCTTGAAGAAAATAAGTTAGGCAATCTTCTAGATCATTGAGACAGAAAAGATGTTTGCCAGGAAATGCCAGACAACTCAGGCAAAGTGCCGTTTTTTTCCTTCTTGAATTAATGGTATAATTGCCTCAGTTCTCCATTTGTCTATTTTTGTTCAGACATAGCTTCAGATCAAATAATTTGCAGCAAGGAGTCCTAGGGGAATAAAAGAAAAGGAGCCCAGAGACAAAGGAGGAACCTTCCAAACTAGTTCAACTGTGTCACAGAACAGCCTGAATGCATCCAGGTGGCAGTGTGGAAATCAGGAAGCGAAACTGGATCTATACAAATGATGAGGAAATGCTTATTCGAATTTCACAAATAAGAGCATTAGTATTTTCACAATGCAAAGCATTTGATTTTACCTTAATATATCAATATTTCAAATGTAGGTCCTTGTAGATCAATTGCTTCTATTTCTTTTCTGTGGATGTTGACTGCAAAGAGGCTTTTCTGTAAGAATTCAATCTAGAAAAGCTTAAAAGAAATAGTGGTGAAGAAGAAATGGTTTTAAAAACTAAACTTAAATAATAATACTGTCTCCTAGGGAGTGATTTTGAATAATAATTTAAAAAATCAAATTAAGCACAGTAGAGTCTCACATGGATCTCTGAAGCCCTGGCTCTGAGATCATGCTATAGGTGAAATCGTAGAGGAATAAGCATCTTTTGGGGCACTCATTATAGTTCTCTGTTATATTTCACTCAAGAGAATTTATCTGCTCTTGCCCTAGCCATCTTTGTAGCTTCAAGTTTCAGATTATGAGTGATCACAACAGAGTTCTAAAGTCTGACAGAAAAGTAAGCAGGCACCTTATAAATTAAAACGCAATTAGAGGTAAGAAAGCTTTGTAAACTGCTAAACACCATGCAAATCTGTTATTATGGTACAGAAGGCTCATTGGAGCCTTTTGTTTTTCCTTTTAACAAAATGATGTGACTAATTATGAAGATAAACCTCATTAAATCTTTTAACCTGATTTCCCTTTCTAATTATTGGAAGCTTATATATTGTTTGAGAGTAAATTTCTTTTCTGAAACTAGAAAGTAGCCTCTCCTGCTTTGATTGGATTTCACAAGGCCCACTGTGATACATCACGTCTGGAACTGTTTGATTCAAAGGAAGATAGGATTAATCTACCTGCATTACAGGAATTCACCATGGAAACCACGGAAGAGGAAAAAATGAGGAAGAGAAAAGCAAATCAAAATCACCATTACTATTGAACACAGGTAGCTAAAATTACAGTAAGGGTTCCCCTGCTTAGTTGAGATTCTATTCCTGAGCCTTGAAAAGAACTCATAGACTTTGAGTAAGACTTGGGGCGTACAATGAAATTACTTTTATCTTAAGCTAAATGACCTGCATGATAATTTTATTTCCCTTCAGAATTAATTTTTTGCAGGTATAACAGTTTAAAGGCAATTAGTAAAATTGATATAAACTTAAACATAAAATGGTAAATTCTCACACATTATAAATATTAGCTCCAGAAGTCGTATCAATAAGACAGTGTGAATGACATCGTACATCTAATTGTTGATGATATTCTTTGTTTGAAGTTTCTTTTTCATTCTTTAAATTTTCTTTTCCTTCAATGTTTGCTGCTTTGGGAGAGACAAAGGTGTGCTTTTAGACATCATCAGGTTAAATAACTTTAATCTTAAACTTTTTGAACAACTGATCTCCAAACTTTTGTCTCCCTTTAATTTAAAAAGAGGGCTCCCCAAATAGCTCTATATAAAAACATTGTAAAACAAAGATATTTTAAAGATGTTTTAGTAAATGTATTTCATCCTAAGAAGAGATAATCAACCCCATGTCTAAGATATTTTTCATAATTACCTTTGATGGACTTAACAATAACACCTGCTACGTGGCCATTGCTTTGTTATTTGTTTTCTTTTCCTTCATCATGCCCTTGGGCTTTAATCCCTTCTTAAATTGCTTCTAGATGCCTGTGTTGCCATCCTGAGTCCCACATGGGAGATTCTCATATTTTGAACACATAATGATGCAGTTTGCAGCAATCTGGTCTCAGCAGACGTCAGTTTTCCTACGTAGGATCTAGTCAAATTCAATTTGAACAAAACTTAGTGGATTAATCAAATTCTCTTGACTACAATTTTGTAGAATTAAGTATTATATAAAATGAGTGGTCTATTATTACATACTTAAATTTCTTTATTCAGAAATTTAATATTGCTCTAGTAATGTGTACTTGATATTATATCATTCTTAACCAGTTTCATTTTTTAAAAAAATTTTAATAAGTGAAAAGATCAAAGAACCCACCATTATATTGATACTGGTGCTACAGATCTAGAAAAAGAAAATATTCTTAAATATTTTTAAAGAAAATATTTTTAAGATGGGTAACAAGGAGGACCAGAACTGAAACATTATCTTCTTTGCTATTGTTGTTGCTTTTAGACACTTTAAACCATACCTAATAAAAGAAATTCACTGAAAACCATTTATACAAAGTTACATATCATTACAATAGGAAATAAGTATGGGAAAATAATATTTCAAAATGATTCCAAGTGATCCCCCCTTTCTCTCTCTCTCTCTCTCTCTCTCTCTCTCTCTCTATCTCACACACACACACACACACACACACACACACATACACACAGTATTTATGACGTTTTTCCAGAGCCAAACTAAGAGGCTATAGTAGGTTAGTGGTCCTACAGTTAAGTTATCTTAGTAAGTTCAAAGGACTTGAATGAAATCTTTCATTCACATACAATTCAACCTCTAATTTCTGCTGTGAAAATGTATATAACATATTTTTAATCCAGTAAAAATTACTTTTAAAGTAACATTACAATGTTAGCTACATCTCACCTCCCTTTCCTTTCTGTGGATAACCAAGAGTTGACCATATTTCTGATAAGTTTAGTTGGTCATATTAGCCAACAATTCAACTAAAGCTTTCCAATACTTAGCCCTTTTAATTTAATGAATTGCTTTCCCTTTAAAGTTTTAGTAACAGCTGAATGAGGAGGGTGTAGCAGGGGGGCTTAGGTGTCACTCTTGTAATGAGAGTGAGATCCTTCTTTCAAATGTTCAAATGTGCCTATTCTTAGGTTTTATTCTAACTAATTTAATAACACTAAAAATTAATCTTCTCTACTCTTTAGAAAAGTGAAAATTTTAGACAAATGATTGGAGAAAAGATGTATGTGCACATTTAATTATTTAATTATTTATGTCGGTCACTGCCACGAAAGCTGCAAATCAGAGACGATGAGGTTTGGTGCCTTGTGACAGTGATAAGGCATTTGCAAATCTGTAATGGGGGCTATAAAACACCGGTATTACCCAACATCTTTATCATAAGCAATTTCCTAGGGCAAAGGAAAGCCATCTTAGTAAGGGTTCATGGTGTATGTCACGGGCCTTTTGCCATAGCCGGTTTTATAATTTATTACACCAGCTTTGTCCATAACATGCAAATATTTCCCTCCCTCCTTGCAAATCAACCTCTGCTGACTTATGAAGAAATAATCAAGGGAGATATCTCATTTCTTTACTTTCATCTGCTCCTCACCTTCCTTCTCCTCCAGATCACCACCTCTTACAAGATCCTGCTGATACCTAACTACTGGCCTCCTTAGCCTAACTCAGAAAGCTGTTCTTGAGGTACACGGAATTGTTCCCTTGGGCGGCCTACCCAAGTTCAAAAACACCCTCATCTACACTGTGGTCAGACCTGAAATTCCACAATGATCTTTGGTAGCATTTTCTCCCTCCAAAAATCTCTTGGGGACTTTAGTAAATTTCTCAGAGGGAAGAAATCTAGATTGGAGTAACCAACCAGCGATTAAAATGCAGAAGTAGAAAATCTAGATTAGAAAGATTACAGCTGCTCACCACCACATGACTGAATTCTCAACTGTTCCTGAGTAAATGGTGATAAGAAAGGTCATAAAGATTAATCATTTCTGACCATGAAGTAGGTGCTTTCTTTATTGGCAGCCAGACACTTGTATAATTCTTTTCCTCTTCCCTTCCTTCACATTCCTATTTAAAATAGAAGACATCCGAAGGGATGGACTGGGGCAGGGGCAGAGATGGGACTAGGTATGAAAAAGCTGTAAATTTCACGTTCTCATTCCAGCTGTCAGTTTTCTGTGTTTCTGTTGTCTTGCCCCAAATACTTCTCTATTTTACTGTAAGGTCAAATGAACTGGAACATCCTCTGGAGGATCTTACCTACCTCATAGGACCTCTCTATAAACAGAAAACACTTCATCATCATACAAAATAAGTATCAGTAAGATGATCAGGCTGTATACCTTTAACTTAAACTTTGTGACTTTTAGGGGCTTTGCAACACCTCCTCCAGCTGCCTGCTAGATTTCGCCTGATTGTTGTAGTAGTAGCTGTTCATCAAAACAGAAGATCATGTTTCATATTCATTATTCATAGAAAACAATCATGGGGTGCTCTATTTATAGCTCAAAATTATTGCTCCGTGGAAGAAAAGGGAAGAGGGATCATCTCATGCCAAGACCCTGAATCCAAGCAAGAGATGATTCTGTGCCCAATAATTCCAAGGATGGCATGATCGGCTGCATGGCTCCCTCTCTAATTATCTCAATTCATTTTGGCTGTCAATTCTGTCAGGAATTTTTAACAGAAAACCAACACATCAGAGATAAGACTAAATGAATTAATTCTGGTCCTTTAAGTCTAAAATATTAACATAGCAACCAATCTGATGGAGAGGACCCAGTGGAGGGGAGGGGATGATATCACAGCTGCACAATTGCATGTTGTAATCATTGCTGTTATCTTCTGTGCTTTATATTCAATAGTTCTCTGATAGTTCTCTGTGCTGAGCACTGCATATTGATTTGGAGAAAAATAAATGAGTTTCTGAATACATAAAGCCTTTCTGATATACTTAGAACAATTCATTTCCCTTTTTATTCTTCTCTGATTCATTTTCTAACTTCAAAGATCATATGACACTCTTATTTTTAACTTTTTTTAACAT